ATCCATACAAAAAATGTCTTTCAAGATTTAGAGTCAGCTAGCAACCATAACCTCCAAATTGAGATCGGGCGCTATCAAAATATACCCCGTGAAGAACGCGTATGTAAAGTCTGCAATTCAGGAGAGGTGGAAAATGAAACCCATCTCCTCCTCTCTTGCAAAGCCTATGAGCAATCTCGTGCAAACCTTCGAAGTTCATTAGAGAATGCTTCATCTGACGAGATTAATCTAAACTCTCAAACTGACCAGCGGACCTAAGTCAACTGATAGTGAAATCATAACCAAACTTTCAAAATTTGTTTATTCATGTTTCAAGCAAAGACTTAAATACCTTGAAACCAGGAATGCAGATTATCAATGGTTGTAATAACCACCTTATTTGTAAATAGTATACTTGTCTTCTTTATAAATCATTCCACAAATAGTAATCTGTAATAGTCCTAGTTTATCCCCGAGCCGACGGCGCGAAGCGCCGTGCGAGGGTACTAATTCCCCCCGGCTATTTACACCCGGGGAAAGGGAAGCATTTGCCATGAACAGGGTGGACTTTTGTCGACGCTGCATAAAAATAGTGCGGGCTCGTGAGCTTTTTCCTGCGAATTTTTCTTTTCGATGTTTGGCTTACAATTTCTAAGGATGTTGAAGTTTACAGCATTGTGATTCACTGGTTTTTGAAAGGAATGGCGTAATCTTTGTTGGAAGTTATATACTAACTCTTCAAGAACCTAATGACTGTTTTTAAAGCAAAGCAATTGAAAGGAAAACTTATATTTTCACACGAAGAAGATGAGTGGCGATATTTATGTTGTACTGTTTTGAGCAGATGCTTCGAAGAACATGATATGATCGGACCTTGTATCTTAAAAGTGTACTTGGAACAGCCGAACAAAGTGGTAAATTTAGGCCGTATTCCCTGGCCCCAAAAGTCGCTTAGAAAACGATTTTTGTTGCCCCCCTTCGGGCACTACTTTAAATTTACATGAATCTATAGATTTTTATACGCTGAGTTCGAATTCACTTGTTGTCACTCGCACAAACCTGCAGTTTTTTTGTATTTTACGATCAAACATCAACATTTTTTATTAAAATTTCCGCCATTTTGTTCAGGAAACTTCATGTTATATACAGTTATTGTACTAGTTCAAGTCTCTTAGCAGGGGGGTTGCACGCGGTATTACGCATTTTTGTCATTCTTCTGAGGAAAATATACAGAAATAAATAAAAATATAGATATGTTTCCACAATATTAAAGTGCGAAAGGTAATATACAATTACTTTATGGTTTCCGTGTTTGGATGGCCTGATCCAAACACGCGGGAATGTTGCAAGGGTTAAGAAAAGCGAGCGAAATCACGAGCCGAAGGCGAGTGATTTTGCCCGCTTTTCTTAACTCGAGCAACATTCCCAAGTGTTTGGATCATTCCATCCAAACAGGGAAACCATAAAGTAATTGTTTTATAAAATAACAACAACACGATGGTCTTCCGTGTTTGGATGGCCTTATCCAAACACGGGTTTCGACCAATCAGAATACGCGTTATGTACATGTTATTTTATAATAATACATGTTTGTAAATAATCAGGAAATAATCTACTGTTCTTGTCATCCATAAAGACTCGCTTGTCCTTGGTAAAGTTGTTTATTTTATTTATTATTGAAATTATGTACATAATGTTAGCCTTGCAATATGAATAGGCAATTTTCCTGGGTATTCTCTACCTGAAAATTTTGTCAACAATAAAGTTTTGAAGGTTTTATCCCTCAGAGGGATTTCAAAATAAATTTTAACTTTGAAACTTTCTAATCTCCTAGGCGAACCAGCCCAGGTAATCCCATGTTTACAAGAGACTTTTAATATTTGAGGCGGGCTGGCTCGCAAAAACAGATCATTGGTATCACTGCTATAAATAGTATAATATAATACTTTTTACTTCTCAAGATCTTGCCTAGACAGGC